TCCTGGAGATCAGTGGGAAGGCCCCCAGAGAAGGGGGCCATAGGGCTGCACCCACATCCCCTAACTTGGGAGGGGCTGAGCCCCCAGTGACCATGGCTCAGAGCCCTGGGAGCTGTTGGAGGGTACTGCAGGGATTTTGGGGGTACCATAAGGGGTCCCCCTCCCTGCCGGGCTCGGGGTTCTGGGGGCTCAGAGTGTTGGTGCAAGTGGGGTGGGTCAGGGATACTGGGGGTGCATCAGGGATACTGGGGGGCCCTGGGAGGAATTGTGTGTCTGGTGGTGGTTCAGCATTCCCAAGGGTGGATGGGAGCCCCTGGGTCTCCAAACTCACCCCTCCAGTTTTCCTTTGCAGATGCCAGGAAGCACCAGGAAAGGTGAGTGCAGCCTCCAGCCATGATACACCTTTTACCCAAACTCCCAGCACCTCCCATCCCTTTCCACACACCCCGTTATTCCCACAGGCCCCCCCTTGACCCCCTGGCACTCCCAGTGGAGGATCCTCAGGCAATGTACATGGAGCTGCACAGGCAACCGTGGGAACCCAGTGACATCTATGAAAATCTACACCAAAATTTGTGATGCTCTGGGAAGCGGGAGGCACTGGGGGTGCTCCCTCCATGGCTCCTGTGGTTGCTCATCCTTCCAAGGGAGGTGGTCATGAGTCAGGGGGAGGCTACACAGGGCACCCTGTGCTCCCCATTTCCTCTCCCAGTACCCCCAAGGGCTCCCCCATCCCTTTGCTGCTACCTGCAGGGGTTCCCCAGCCCCATCCAAGTGCCCAAGTACCCTCAGGGACTGCCCCATTCTCTCCTTACAGTGCTTGCAGTGCACCCAGGGCTTCCCCATTCCCCGTCCCACTACCCCTGTCCCATCCCGCTGTAAAAGGGGGAGTCGGGGAAGATTTTGCTGAAAGGTTTCTCAGATGAAAATGAAGCACAAAAGTGACAATATTATATCTGAGAACAGTTTCTTGATAAAGGAGGATAAGCGTTTGTACCGAAGGGGGAGAGAAGGGAGTAGAACGGGAAAAGGATAGAGACAGAAGCAGAAGACAGGGACAGCGTCACCGCCAGGAGCCCGGGCACTCTGTGGGCATCAGCTCAGCAGATGGAGTGTGTGTGCTGCATGCCAGGGTGAGCCCACATGGCTTTTGTGAGTGGCTGGGTGTGATTTCCAAGGACGGCACCTGTGTGTCTCTGGCATGGGCGAGCGATGGCTGCAGGCTGGCTGCTGCGGGCTGGCTGTGGGCTGGTGCTGCGGCACTGGTGGCTCTGGGCTGGCTGCCGTGGGCTGGGGCTGCGGTGGGCTGGTGCAGCAGGCTTGGTGCTATGGGTAGCACGGGAAACGCGGCAGAGGTGGCGGGTGGGTGCAGGCAGCATCTACTCCATCGGGGAAAGCAATGAAGGAACGTCCAGGACAAGCAGGAATGAGCGGCCTCGGGGAAGCAGTGAAGCAAGGAAGAACGGGTGCAGACAGGGAAGAAGGACTACCGGGAAGAAAAGGCGGTGTGGGGGGAGTGTCGGTGATATTTTTGCCCAACAACCAGGGGGAATGATGCATCTGACACCATCTTATCAGAAGGCTAATTAATTACTTTATTAGACCATATTAGTCTATATTATATTACATTACATCTAAACTGAATTTGCCAAGCACTCAACGGCACTCCACTGCACACAGTCTCATGACAGTCAGTTTACTGTCCCCACACACACACACACCTGGATTCAACTGGTCGGTGAATCAAAACACTCACAACAGAATCCAATCACCAATTACCTTCAGGTAAACAATCTCCCACAATGCATTCCATTTGTGAAAAACGGAGGAGCAGAAAATGAGATGAGAATTGTTTGCATCATTTTTCGCTTCTCCCACTGCTTCTCTCAGGTTCAAAGAATATCAATGCCACAGGGCAGGAGGGCCAAACTGACCCTTTGAGCGAGACCCTGATCCTCCAAGAAACCCAAAGCAAAACGTTCCTGTTGTGTAATAGTTTGCTGCTTTTCTTTGCAAAGGCTCCTCCCACAGCTCAATTTCCCAAGCATTTTTTCCCAGACATTTTTCCCAGGCATCTGTCCCACCAGCCAGTCGGGGTCACTCACAGCCCAATCACTGAAGCTTTCTCTCCCCTGATTCTCTATTGTGTGAAGCCTCGCTGGGGAAGGGCTTCCCAGCACTTGTAGAACCCACAGAGTAATTTTTCACCTCATGTGTAGCATATGTTAGGACATAAATCAAAATCAGATTTGTTCCTCTTAACTTGCTTAGTGGCTCTGCAATCCACCTCCCAGTGCACCCACTAAAGTGGCTTATTGGTGCCCATCCCAGTTCCAAGGGGGCACAGGACCTGGTTCCCTGCTCCTGGGACAAAAAAGCAGCTCTTTGGTTAAACTAGGCAGAAATGGTGTTTCTTTGTTCAGCTCGATCAAGGAAGCTGAACAAGGTGGGAACCTCCCTTGCAATGGAAAATGCAACCCCAATCTCTCCGAACTATTACTGCCTTGAAATTACAGGGCTTTTAGGCAAAGATGTGGGAACAGGAATAACAATTCTTTACTAATATGTATTGTGAGAAACAAGTTAATGGAAGTTGACTTTCGCTGGATATTATACGAAATGATATAACATTATTGATTATATTGTTGATTAAATATTGTGATGTTGTTACTGCTGGGACAGTGATGTGTATTGTGGAGTGGCTGATGTGGTTGGGGTGGTCATCCAAGGGTGGGGCCCAGCCATGGCCCAGCCCCACTGCACAGGGATGGCCATTGCCCAGCCCTGCTCTGGACAGCCCCAGGTGGCAGCCAGGACCTGAGGGTCCCCCCTGCCCCCTTGGCTTTGATTCTTGCAGCTTTAAAGCTGCTGCAGAGGTGAGAATTCTGTGGGTGGAAAAAGGCCTGCCTGTGGTTTGCTCAGCCCTGCAAGAGGCACAAACCAAAAAGGGAGCCCAAGCAGTGGCTCTGTGAGGGCCTTTGATGGTTTTCAGAGAAGGGCTGGCTGGAAACACCCCCTGCAGGGGAGGCTGTGGGAGATCCAGTCTGGAAATGCAGCAATTGATCAGTTGTTCCTCTTGGTAAAGGACTGAGAGAGCTCCATCACTACTGCAAGTCCCACAACAATCTGCTCAACAAGCTCACCTGGACCCTCCTTCTTGAACAAAACCTGCAGCCTTCTGGAACCTCATGGAAAGAATGTTTGGGCTCAGGCTGTGGCCATCAACAAAGAGGAAAATGTTTGGAAATATCACACAGGGGCTCTGGCCCCGGCCATGGAGGAGCTCTGTGGAGTGACTCTGTCTGGATTCCAGGTGTCCCCAAAGCTGCTCCATCCCTGCCCTCCTCACCTGACCGAAAGCCTGAGGGTTTGCAGGAATTGTGGCACAAAGCCACCAGAGGTGCTGTTGTGGACCCGAGACCTGCCTGGGTCAGGTGCTGCCTTCCTTCCATTCGGGATCATGGAGAGCGGCCACGGGTGTTGCGCAGGGCGTGTAACTGGCCCCAGGACACTGCTACGCTGCCAGTGGGCACTGGGATCCAACCTGCTGCCTTGGCAGCTTCTGCCCGCTGCCGGTGGTGGTGCCGGGACCGATTGGTGCCCCTGAGTTTGCAAAAGGAGCGATTTCCCCTCCTGCCTCCCGTCCGAGGCCGCTATGGCCCCTGAGGGGATGGAGATGGAGCGGGGCGCCCCCTGCTGGCCGGGAGTGCTTCCTGCAGTGCCCCCTGCTGGCCGCGGTTATAACTGCCATAAAAACAAGAGCGCTGAGCGGGAGGGAAAGTTCTGAGTTTGTGTTGTTTGTTCTGTTCTGGTTTAAAAACTTCTCACTGAAGAGCTGTTATTCCTTTTCTTACACTTTTGCCTGAAAGGCCCCATGATTTTTGAAATTAAAAAACCTTTTTGACATGTGTCTTCTTTACATTCCAGGACAGTTCCCACTTTCCTTGGCAGATATTTCTCATTTAAATGAGTTGCCAACTTCTGGGTTCCAGGGTGGGAACAGACACTCCTAGAGGAGACAGGGTCAGGGACTTGCCCACCTCATGCTCTGCCTTTTAAGCCAGCTGGGCCACCAAGGGCCCTCTCCCCAGGTGGTACTTCTGGTCACGTGGCCGCTCAGGAGCTGGCTTTGGCAGAGCATCACTCTGTCTCCAGTGTGCCATGGCTGACAGACTGATGGAGAGATGGGGCCCTGTCTCTTCAAAAGCAAGGCCGGACCCTCTCCTGTCACACACAGGTGTTCCAAAATGTCTCCAAACATCAAAGTTTTCCCGTCTCTGACACCCCACCCTGTGCCATGGCTTGATCCCGACATCCCTGGAAAAGGGAGATGCTCCAGAACCCCCCAGAGGGTCTTTGTGACATCCTTGTGTTGGGAACACGGCAGAGGAGAAGTTTGGGACAGAGGAGAAGAGAATCCAGAGCCTCCTGAAGGCCATTTTGGCTATCAGAGAAAGGAAGGTCCAGGACCTTGCCAGGTTTCTCTGGTGGAGGAAATGTGCTGGAGGAAATTTCTGGGATTTGTTCTTTGTTCTTGCTTTCACAGGAAATCGTTCCTTTTGTGACCCTTTGGACACTGGACCTTGTTGCTGTTACTCTTGGTTTTATTCTCTCTCGTTGCTGTTTCAGGAAATTGTTCTTCTCTCAGCCCTTTGGCATCTTTGAGCCTCCATGGGGATGGAGAGGGGCAGTTTTTAGCAGCAGCACATACACGAGTGGGTGCCCATGGGTGGGGACACCCAGTGCCCCCCAGTTCCCCCCAGTGTCACAGCACATTCCCATAGATCTCACCGGGTTCCCGTGGTCACCCCTGGGGTCCCCACAGCTCCGCGTAGGTCACCTGGGGATCCTGGAGGGTGGTGGCACGGGGGGACACTGCGAGAGACACGGGCTGTGGGATCTGGGTGGGGTGACACTCGTGGGTGACGTGTCCCTCTGAATGTGTCCCACCCATACTCACCCCCTGCCCTCTTGGTTACCACGACGTGGGTGTACAGCACCTCCCCCTCCTCTTGGGGGGCCGGGGGATCCGGGTGAGCCCTGAGGGAATAAAGGGGATGTGGGGGAGGGAATGGGAGGGCTTGGGGGTTGGGGTAAAATGAGACAGTGTGGTTTGAGCCCCCCACTCACCTTTCCTGGTACTTCCTGGCAGCTGCAAAACAAAGAGGGGAGGGGTGACTCTGGGGTCCCAGGGCCCTGATTCCTCTCAGGATTCCTGAACACCGATAAGACTCTCAATTTCTCATAGGACCCCTAAGCATTCCTGAATCACCTCAGAATTCATGAACTTCCCCAGTGGCCCCAGACAAATCACCCTCAAGAACCCAAAGCCCAACAGGAACAGAGACCCTCCAAACACTCACAGGGCCACTGAAAGAACCCCCAACATCCCTGCAGGACCCTGCAGCTACTCCCCAAACTCTGCAGGACTCCCAGCCAAAGTCATAATTGAGCGTCTTTGGGTTGTTACCTATGGTTCTCCAATTTCTGAACCTCTACAACTCCCTGGGACCCCCCCATCCCCCATTGTCACCCACCCCCATGGTGCCACCAGTACCAGGCCAAAATGACACCCATGAAGAGGAGCAGGAACAAAAGGGCCCCATCGAGCCCTGCGGCCACTGCAAGAAACAGAGGGGGACACATCCAGATCACCCATCACCCCAGGGGTCCTGCACTCCCTGGTGACCCCACCTCTGACCCCACCTGTGACCTAGGATGAGCCAGGTGTCATCTCCAGGGCCAACTCTGGGCTCAGTACCCGGAACACGCGGTGCCCGTCCTGTCCCAGCTGGTTGGTGGCCACGCACTGGTAGGTGCCCAAATGTCCTACATCGAAGTTCCTGAACTCCAGGGGGGGGCCCTGGGCCACCTGCTGCCCGTTGTGCAGCCAGGTGAAGGTGACAGGGGCTGAGCTCACCTGCACTGAGCAGTGCAGGGTCACGTTGTCACCTGCACGCACCTGGTGTGCCAGGGGACTAGGCGTGATGGTGGCATTGGCCATGGGCACTGTGGGGACACAGACAGGGCTGGCACATGGTGAGGTGAGAAGGGGGTGCTGTGGGTGAGGTCACTCCCATCCCGAGGGTCCCGCTCACCCAGGACGGTGACATTCAGGGGATCACCCTGGGCCACTCTGTCACCGTCACTGACTTGGCACTGGTACTGGCCACTGTCATTGTCCCCAATGTGGTGCAGCTCCAGGTGGGGGCTGGTGCCTGGCAGTGCCCCCAAGCCATCCCGGTACCAGGAGAAGGGCAGGGGACCTGATGCTGTGGCCACGGAGCAGCTCAGCACCGGTCGGTCCCTGAGTGCCACCTGTCCCCCGGGGGGCTGCACTGACAGGGACACCCCTGCAGGTGGGACCTCTGCAGGAGAGGGGGACACCAGGCGACAGTCAGGGAAACAGGGGGCTCAGGAGGGGCAGGAGGACCCCAGTGAGGGACAGGGGTCACAGAGATTGGGGTGGTGGGTCTTAGAAAAGAACCCCGAGGGATGATGGGGGGGGTTAAGGGGGGGAAGGCCTGGAGAGGGAGGTGAGAAACACCAGGCAGGGTATGGGGACCCAGGGAGGGGATGGTGTTACCTGGGGAATGTGGGAAGACCTCAGAGAGGGGTGAAGGCACCCAGACAGGGGTGAAGGGACTCAATATGAGATGGAGGGAAACATGAGCCAGGAATGGGGGGACCTTGGGAGGGACCTGGAGCAGTGATGGCAAGACACAAAAAATGCACCAGGGCAGGATGAGGGTACCCATGTAGGGGTGGGGGACCCGGTGAGGGACCCGAGAAAGGATGGGGGGAGCCAGGGAGATATTTGGGAAAGGTTGGATACCCCACAGCACGTGTCAGGGAGGGCTGGGGGATGCCAGGCAGTGTGGGGGCCCCGAGGGATCTGTGGGGACTTCCTGTGCCCATCCCTGCACTCACTGTGCACCATGACGTGGAGCTGGGCACTGTTCTTCCTCACAGCCCTACCCTTGGAACGCACCTGGCAGCTGTAATTCCCTGAGCGGGAGACCGCCACGGCGGGCACCAGCAACTGTGGGGACCCCTGCGGGCCCCCCACCACCTGCCCATCCCGGTAGAACACGTGCAGGAGGGGAGCTTGGGGCCACAGGGGGCTGAGGGTGCTGCAGCAGCTGAGATTCAGGGGGGACTCCACAGTGGGCTAGGGGGGACCCTTCAGCACTGGCACTGAGAAGAGCTCTGGGAAGGAGAGAGCAGGTGAGGACTGTGACTCTGAGTGCACTTGGAAGTGGCTTTGGGGGTGTCAGGAGATTGGAGTTCCAGTTGTGGGGGTGCTCACTGTGCACTGTCACTGTCACTGCTGCTGACTGTGACTGCCAGGACCCCACCAAGCCCTCGCATCAGTAGCGGTCACTGTTGTACAGCTGCAGGGGGGACAGGAACAGCTCGGTCCTCCTGAGGGGCCCCCTGAGATCCTTCTCCTCCTGGTAAAATCGTAAAATGGTGAGATGGATGTCCTGATGGCACTGGCAGCACAGTGTCAAGGTGTCCCCATCCAGCAGTGCCTGTACTGGCACCTGCAGCACCAGTAGGTCTGTGGGACAGGAAGGTCACATCTCACTGATGAGACTGTTCTGAGGTGGGTGCCCATAGCACCGGGGACATGTGGGTGCTCTGGGGTGCTCTGGGGTACACTGGGATGTCCCTGTGTGCAGGGCACAGGCTCTTGCCACGCGAGGGGTGTGAGGCCACCTACGGAGTGGAGCCCACCCTGACCTCTCAGGGGCCACCCTCATAATTTAAGATCCCCCCTCACCATCTACTAAGGACACTGGGGTGCTGCGCCCGGTTCCGTGTCTGTCACACATTTAGGTGTCACTCTCAGTGACAGTGAAGTCGTCAGGTCCCTCCTGCCACCAGCATCGCCCGTCCTTGTACCAGGTGGTGGCACCGGTAGCCCCCGAGCCCTGGCAGGTCAGTGTCACCCGGTCCCACAGCACTGCCAGGAGCTGGGTGGTCTGGGCACCTGCAAGTGACAGGGGACACCAGCCTGCCAGGGCCAGTGCAGGGCTGGGGACAGTGGGGTGGGACCATGGCATCCCCCGAGGACTCACCAGCGAGGCCAACAGTCTGAGTTGCAAGAGACAGGGACAGGGCTCCGTGGGGGTGTGGCACTGCAGGGATGGCAGCACCATGGTAAACAGTGTGTGGTGGCTGTCCCTAAACTGTGGGGACAGCAGTTCTTGAGGGAAAGTGAGTGTGGATGGTCCCCAAAAGATTTGGAGAGGCAGGAGGACATGTCTGTGTCACAGCCACCCGTGCACCACATTCATGTGACACAGAAACCTTGGGCACAGGGACACTAAGGTCCCCCTGGGCTGAGGCACAGTCCATGCTGGCCCAGGTCACCCCCACCAGCTCATGATCCCATCCACATGATCCCACCCCCATGACCACATCCTCACTGTTCTTGTCCCCTTCTGTCCCTGCATCCCAGTTCCCTTGTCCCTATGCCCAGAGCTACCTGAGCCCAAAGGTGCCAGTCCCTACATTCCTGTCCCCACATCCCCATCCCCATCCCCAGATTCCTGCCCCTGTTCCAGTGTCCAAAGACACCCTACATCCCCAGTCCCACTCAGGTTCACTGTGGGTACCATGGACTGGCTCTGCTGCTATTGGGGACCCCAGGGGACCCCACAGCCCCCCTGTCCCCCTCTCCTCCCCATCCCCAGGGTGTCAGGCCCATACCCGGGGCACTCACCCCACAGGAGCAGTGCCACCTTCCTGGCCATCCCGGTGTCTCCAGCCATGTGCACTGACTGTCACTCGCTGCTGTGGCCACCGCTCCCCTCACTGGTGGCTCTTCGGATGAAGGGGAAAGAAGCGAGGTCAGGTCTTGACCTCATGCGTAGGTGGCCATTGGTGGGGGCAGGGTGGGGACACAGGTGGGTGGGACAAAGTGGAACATGAGGTTCCCAGGAGTGGGTGGCTCGGTGGGTTTGGGGAGGCAGGAAGGGGGTCACTGGGGAATGGAGGTGGTGAGTAGGGGAAATTTCTGGCAATGGGGGTGCCATGGGAATGGGCATCCCTGTAGCTGGGCGGACTGAGGGATTTGAGTTCATGGGATGGGGGAATGGTGGGTCCTAGGAGGATTTCAGGGGATGGAATGAAACGGGATGGGGTTCCTTGGGAATGGGGTCCTGAGCCATGGAGATCCTGGGGAATGTCAGTACCGGGATGGAGGCTGCAGAGAGGGTGGGACATAAGGAATGGGGGTCCCATGGTTGGGTTCCAAGGGGAATGGGGTTCCAGGGATGGGCAGTGGCTGGGTGAGCCCGTGGATCAAAGCTCCTTTCCTGGGTGCCTCAGATTTTGGGGAGCTTTTACCTCCCAACACTTTCACTTTCTCTCTCTTGCAGAAGATGGAAGAGACCGTTTGACACATTTCTCACACAGGGGATGTGTTCTCTCCTGGTGGGGCAGATCCAGGGGGCTCCTGTCCTGGGGGGATCCTGTCCCAGAGGGGAGACACATGCTGGACAAGGGGCTCCCGTCCTGGTGCATGGCAGCTCCGGGGGGGTCCAGACTTCTCCATTCTTGCTCATCCCCTGCAGGATCTGAGCCAGCAAGAGCCACTGGGGAATGGAGCCCCAGGCAGGAAGGAGCTCCCAAACTCCTGCTCCTTGAAGCCAGTGGCCATCCAAGGGTGGGGCCCAGCCATGGCCCAGCCCCACTGCACAGGGATGGCCATTGCCCAGCCCTTCTCTGGCCAGCCCCAGGTGGCAGCCAGCACCTGAGGGTCCCCCTTGCCCCCTTGGCTTTGATTCTGGCAGCCTTAGAGCTGATGGAGAAGTGAGAATTCTGTGGGGGAAAAAGGCTTCCTGTGGTTTGCTCAGCTATGCAGGAAGTACAAACCACAAACGGAGCCCAAGCATTGGCTCTGTGAGGGCCTTTGATGGTTTTCAGAGCAGGGCTGGCTGTTAATGCCCTGTAGGGGCAGCTGTGAGGGACCAGTCCAGAAATGCAGCAATTGATTATTTTGTCCCTCTCCCCAAGGGACTGAGAGAGACCCAGCACTACTGCAAATCCCACACTAATCTGCTCAACAACCTGGCCTGGACCATCCTCCTCCTCCCTGCCTGGCCATTGATGGGCAGTGGCCGGATGCCCTTCACCCACCACAGTTGCTCTCTCACTGCCGTCTGCACCTGGATGGGGAGAGAAAATTGAGCAAAGGGCTCCTGGGTTGAGACATGGACTAGAAGAGATCACTCATCAAATCATGTCATGGGTAAAAGTGCTTCAGAATTAGAGATATGAATTGAATTTTTTGCTGACAAAATCAGAGCAGGATAATTCAAATAAACCCTTCAATACACCTTCCCCCTGTTATGAATAACTATGTAGTCATTGGCTTTCTCTATTATATTGATTTTCCAAAATATTTTGATATAAGAAAGTTTGTAATCAGTTTTCAACTGCTTTTGATACACTACAAACTGTCAGCCTTTTTACCCTAATCCCTGTGTAGACTATATATTTTAGCGTCATAAATATATTATAGTTTAGGCTCTCCCAAAAAATCAAGATAGAGACAATACGCTGTGTATTAAAACATTAACTGTTTCAGAAGTAGCTTATGCCTTTATTTGTGTGACTAAGTGATAATGGTGAGAATAACTCAGATAATTTTGTGAACTAGATAATGTTGATGTAACGTACTGGTGGACTATCTCATCTGTATGAGAAGGACACGTTGAAAAGTAGCAAATGAAAAAACATCAAAAGAAAGAATGCAAGGAGGAATTTACCACTGATACTTTGGGCTGTCAAACCACAGAACAGGGGGGCCTTGTGAGGACATAAAATATATAAATTTAATCTGCAGTATGGTGTTCACTTTATGAAAATGAATCAAAGGTCATCAAAGGTCAAACCAAGCAAAAGAATTCCCAGACCACGTGAACTAGAAAGAATATTTGAATGTGTTATACGTACTCTCCTGAGTATTTATTTCACCAATACAATGAAAATGTATGTATGAAGAATTGTTCTAATTATCCGTGTGCCTCTGGCAGTTGCCAAGCACCCAGCATGCTGTTTACTGTCCCCTTTATCCCTTATTAAACATTTACAAATTTTAAAGAGTGAGCCTTGTTTCTCACACAGTTTGACCAAAAACTGGATTTTCAGAACAATAAGAGGGAAAAAAGTCGTGTGCTCTCCCAGCACTGGGAGGGGGAAGGAGGAGGCCCATGGGATGCTGCGAAGAGGAAGAAGAGATCCCTGAGGGGAATCGATGACCCCCAGTGCCCCCAGTGCACCCAGTGTCACAGCACGTCATCGTAGTCACGGGGGTCCCGCTGTCCCTCGTGGGGTCCCGACAGCTCCGCGTTGGTCACCTGTGGATCTCGAGGAGGGGCAGGGCTGGGGGACACCTGTGGGGGCCCTGACAGTGACACCAGTTCTGGGGAACTGGGTGAGGGGATGACACTCGTGGGTGATGTGTCCCGGTCTCCCCCTGTACTCACCCTCTGCCCACTCAGTGCCCATGATCTGCGTGTTGAGCACAGCCCCCTCCTGCGGGGAGGTCCGGGGGGGGGGTGGAGGGTGTGGTCTGGGTGGTGTCTGGGGAGGGGAAAAGGGGAGTCCCAGCCTGAGCCCTCCCACTCACCTGTCCTGGAAATTCCTGGCAGCTGCAAGGGACAGGGGAGGGGGTGACCGAGGGGACACCGGGACCCCTGAACCTTCCTGGGACCTCAGCAGCTCCAACCACCCATGGGAGCCCAAATCCCCACTGGACCCCAATTCCCACTGGATCCCTGATCTCTGCCCCCACTGTGGGGGATTCCCCTCACTCTAGGACTCCCTATCCCCCTTAATTGTCACCCACCCCGGCGGTGCCACCAGTGACAGCCCCCGATGACAGCCAGGAGCAGGAGCAGGAACAGGAGGGTCCTCCCAACATTC